CCCCCCCCCCGCCCCCCCCCCCGGCGTTGATTTGAATAGAGAATACGAGTACGTTGGGAAAATAAGAGGAGGCGTGTTATTCTGTTAACCTGATTGCATTCAGCGATAGTCCCCACGAGTTGGATTAAACCGGTACGATAGTTTAATTGGGAACTTACCCTTATTCTCCTGAGTCTTCTCTGTGTAAGTCATGTTGGCCGAGTTGGCCGTAAATTGTTTTGCAGGAGGATCGGCTTTGCGTTTTGGACGTTTAAAGGCCATAAAGCAGTTACCATAACAACGTTCGTTTGGCATTCCTGAAGTTCCAGTCAGAAATTACTCGAAAATGTTCCCCTCCTGTAAAACGGTATTAGTCTACATCCTTGTACAAATCAACACAGGGGCGGATCCAGAGATATTTTCTGACAGTCTTCCAAAATATCTTTGTTGATCCATCCTCATTTTTGACCGTCTACCGACAGAAAAAGTTTAATATCCGTCTATGTAAACTTGAAAATCTGACCGTCTTCCGGAAGACCCAGAAGACGGCCTAAATCTGCCCCTGCAACACGTGGGGTTTTTATTGTCACTGACAAGAAAAGAATGTCTGATTTGGAAAATAATGAGCAGTATGACACTAAGAAAGTGTACTCCCATTACGATTGATTCATTTGAAAATGAGCAGGAATAATACAGATAATTTAAGTGATCTCGAGGACCCTCCAGAAAGGAAAAACTCGCCCGATTTACACAGCAGGCACAGCAAACGCTACACACGAGGCAGCAATTTTGCCTTAAACAATTTGAAAGCCAAACATACCAAAGCTTCTAATACAGACCAAGTAATACAGGAATCTAACTAACCCCGAAATTTCAAAAGCCACGTGCTGCAAACGGAAATAAGTTTACCTCTAGTTGGACGCAGCAAACCAATCCCAATTGAAACATTCCCCAAAGAACTGATGATTCAATATGAAGCATTCAAAACGGCCGAACCGAACTGTGTGGACGAGGCGGACTTACACAAGTTTCGCAAACATCCTCTCAACGTTGAACTAATGCAATAGAGCGCCGAACAACTGAGGGGAGTAATACGGATAATTGACAATGGCGTCTTCAATAAGTCTATAAGTCGTTCCAAATGTGGATGGAAGAGCCCTTTTGATGAAATAAAGTCAGAAAATTTATCCTCGACTGGTGCTGTCCATGTTGACATTCTCTGTCCTCTTATGGTTCCCGGTGGATACTCCTTCCAACATTTCTTAGACGGTATTCTACCGAAGATTGTCCAAGCCCTTGATTTATTGCGGAACAAAAGCGTAAAAATCTTGATACCTTTTAGTAGAGATGTAATTATATTGGAGATCTTGGAAGCACTTGGTATCGTAAAAGATATGATTCTTTTCCATGCTGGTAGAATTTATGCAGCAAGGAAGATGATCTTAACTTGTATTACACCGCCATTACACCCGACCCTGTGGCAAAATGCACACAAACTCATGAACGCTCCTGAAAAACTCCCTGTACCTCGTGAGGAGGCATATGTCATTTTGTTAACCAGAGTCATAATGGGGAAAGAAACATGCTGAATCAGATAGAAGTTCTAGCATTCCTAGATAAAAGGTACGGGAAAGACAGAGTAAAAGTCTACCCGGTAAAGTACAACCTTACAACATCTGTGAGCGTTTTTGGGCGTGCGCGAGTCCTGATTGGTGTTCACGGAAGCTCCCTCTATATCGAAAATCTAAATTTTGCCTCAAGTGACGTCAGCGATGTAGAAATACTTCCGTTAGGTGGCGCAGGTAACCCTCTGCCCCAGGGAATCGCTCACACGATCTTTTGGTCCATGTGCAATATGTTGAATCATTCATATTGGAGAATTTATAATAAAGCGGTAACGTAATTGTTGACCTCGTCAAATCGGGCCGGGTTTTGGACAGGATTGATATTTTTTAACAAATTAGTATAATTTATTATAGGTTTGATATCTAAATAAAGACTGCAGGAAAAAAAATCAAACTATTAAACGTAATAATAACTTCCAGTCTTGAAAATAATGTATTTTTAAAATATTTTCTCGAATGCTTTCTTTTCTTTTCTTTTTTTCTTCTTTTTTTTTTTAAACATACCTACGTGCTTCTTCATTTTTGTGAACGTTCTCTGTGCATTTTGTTTCATTATTCTCAAAGTTTTGTGCTGGTTAAATAGTTTTTCATACATGTTTAAGTCGAAATAGAAATAAAATCAAATGAATATAAACAGAGAAGGATAAATAATGTTTTCTTTATCCATAACACTGAAACAAAGTAAAGTAACTACACGCTAACAATATTTTATTGGTGAAATACAAGGATAGGTATATGTGAACATCGATTGTATTTGATAGATGCATTGATAGCGTAAATGAGCACCATAAATAATATAATATAATATAATATAATATAATATAATATAATATAATATAATATAATATAATATCTGTTTAAAATGCGAAATTATTGACTTGCTTTTGGCTTATTCTCGGCATCAGTACTAAGAAAATGTCTTAAATGTCTAATTCTAAAGTTATGTTACCACATTTAAATTTGCTTAAATAGTAAACACTCTGGAATTAATAATTCGTCCGCAAAGATCAATTATACGCTACATATACACACAATGGACAATAGAAGTGTCCCCCTACTGAACCAATACTTTGGGGGAGATATATAACTGTGGAATGATATGCTCCTGGTATCATTTTATTAACATCAAATTTCACAAAAAAAAAAAAAAAAAAAAAAAAAAAGACCAGGCATTATAACTACTCAAGATCTGCCTACTTTGATTATTGCTTACTTGGTTATTATTTGATTACTCTGATTCAGGGGCTGACACTTCTATTGTCCATTGTATGTTATTACTAGACACATACAGTGCACACTTGTTCAATTATGGAACATTTCGAAAGATACAGATATAACCATTGCTTCAAAAATGTGATAATTAAAATGGATGCTTTTGCTATAAAACTTCTAATAATCAAACCATGCCAATCTACTGTAAGATACGATCTATAAATACCCTCAACACTCAGAATGTAAAATAGGTGGCTTTCAAATGCCAAATAACCCCCCCCCCCCCCCCCCCCCAAAAAAAAAAAACATAACAAAATCATTGTTATTTAACTAAACAAAA